TAACCTATTCTAAAAAATTATTGGTTCATAACCTTTTTTTTTTCCGAGAGTATTAATTTCAAAATTTTGAAAAATAATAAAAAAAGGTAAATAAATAATTAATAAAAAAATATTATATTTTGAAGACTCAAAACTAAAAATTAAAACTGTTTTAATAATTTTGTTTAGTACACTTATATTTAAATATCAACCTATGTAATGATTTGACATGACATGATAATACGTAGCATAAGATAATAGACCACCGATTACTTGTTTGTTCAATAACATCTCACTATTAATATAACAGTATCGATATCGATAAAAATGTAAAGGTCTCGATTTCATGAAAATGATGATGGAAATATCGATATTGATGGATATTTATGAAAATGTTATAAAAAGAAAAAAAATGGTAAAAAATATTTAAATTAACAAATAAGCATTTCATTCTTTCTAAATAAGATTAAAATCATGAATATGAATATAATGTATATTTTGTTGATATTTTTCATATTTTGTCAATTTTGTTGCAATATTATGGAAATGTCGATTTACCCTTCAAGTAAATATCGAACTCATAGACACATGGAAATATAAAAGAAAAGGTCTAACATGTATCAACAAATATATGATACCCTGGTATATAGGTTTATTAAAATGAAAATCGAAAGTTTAAGCAGGACATAATAAAAAAAAAAAGTTTAAAGCTTGACGAACAAATATAAATACAACCATCATAATTGAAAAACAAATTTGTAATTTAAAATAATATTTTTAGAATAAAAAAAAAGCAAAATTGGTATCTTATTTTATATATTGGTTTGTTTTTGGGTATTTGAGTGCAGCTAGAGCAACAGATTTTGGGTGCCCATGACTCACACTCGATGTAGCCAACAACAAAATTTCACAATGGGGTTTTGAAGTACTTGTAAATAATTTTTCTAATTTGCTAGCTTTTCTTTTCTTTACTTTTTTTCCCTGTATTTCTTTTTTTTTTCTTTTTTCCTAAAAAGATAACGAACCTAACCTCAGGTTGTGTTGGTTGCATTGGATAATGTCTTTAAAATTTTCAAATTTTAGAAATTTTAAATAAATTTTAGTTCAGTTGCTGTGATACTATCAATATATGTAAAATAAAAGTGACGGTTTAATCCCTGGTTTACATGTAGTTTAGATTAATATTTTGGGACAATAGTTATTTAGACGTGCGATATTTATAGGGTCTAAATGTGTTCCATTTATATTTTCACATACTCGAATGCTTACTAAATTAAGTCAATCCATAATGGTTAGTTAGGACTAAATAGTTGAGTTATGCATATTTCTTTTAGTTCAACAATATTGTGGGTATGAGGATCGAACTATATATGTGTTATCTCTACTGAACTATGTTTGAATTGACATTGTCCATTAGTTGTTTGGCACATCACATTAATTCAGCTAAATTTTATCTATATAATTGTCATGTCACACATAAACATTATATTTATTATAACATTATATTAATTATATTAATAATAAAAACCAAACAAAAATATAATTTAGCCAATTTGAACATGGTTCAAATATTTTTTTTTTTCAACCAACATACTTCAACTAATTAAGGTATATATTCTCAATAAAAATATTAAAAGTTCCCATCCCTACTTATAAAACTAGGAAAAGTACCTAATAAAAAAAAAAACAAAAACATAATTTAAAGTTCGGAGCCATAACTGGAACAATTTAAGAATTACAAATAATTGAATGGTACAATAAATATGGTCAAAATAAGAACTTTTCAGAGGTCATGTGATTATTCCACACTAAGTCCTTACATTATCCAATAATAATTTAAATCCACCGACCAATGTGTCATAGGGAAACTAAAAACAATTGTCCCATAGTTTTTTAAAACTTTTTTTCTTTTTTAAATGAGATTCAATTCTTAAAAAATTAAGCTTAATTATTAATAATTCAATTATATTCTTTTAACCTATTTGTTAAAGCACGTTTTAAATCCTACTCAAAGTATTTAAATTTTATTTTTTTCATGAACTTGTTCTATTTCTATTTATCGATACTTTCAAAATGTTTACTTATTTCATGAACTTTACGAAATTTTCAAAAGTTTTATTTTATTTTTTAAATTTTAAAAATAATTATTTTGGTCATTGAAATTATTTTGTCATCTAATATTCAATTTACCCCATAAATCATCTGAACCAATCCTTGTTGAACACATATTCAAGGTCGCGTTATTCATTTGTTAGAATTGTTTTAATTTAAAAAAATAAAGAAAAAATAGGAACTGAAATAGACATTCTAAAAATTAATTTAGGGACTAAAACAGACACGTTTTCAAAGTTTATGGACTAAAATAGAATAATTTTGAAAGTTTAAGGACTAAAATAAAATTTAAACCATTTAAAAATAAAAGAATGATTCTTTAGAGGTTGTTTATTTTTTCTGTGTAGATACCGATGTACAAAATTTTAAAGGTCTTGCATCATTGATAGCCACATTTATTTTTAGGTAAATTGATAAGGATGTTTGTGATATAAAATGTACGTTGATTATTAAAAAATGTTGCTTTAAAATTATATATTTATGATAATAAATATTATTAATAATAATTACTTCAAAATATTAAAAATAAATGGAGATATTATATAATTTAATTGAATTTTATTTTACATGTAAATGTAGTTTATAAATATACTTAATTGCATAAAGTTAGTTATTAGTCAATTAGTATATTAATTATAAAATAAAAATAAAAATAAAGAATATTAATGAAAGTAAATATATAAAAAATGGAAAGACAAAAATGTAGAGGGATGATGTCCTTGACATAAGGATCTTGGAAACCCATTTTCAAAAGGGAATCAAAATATGTTAAATATCTTATGTATGGATATCTTAGGATATCCGAGCATTTTAAAATACCGCGGTATCTTTGTTAAGAATCTCAAATTGAAAAAAGAAGAAACCTAACAAGGGTTTATAATATAAGCGGATTACTCCTATTATTGTCAATTGGTTTTGAGATGAAACTCTATGAATATTAATATGGTACCAGAGCCCAAAAATCTCAAATGAGCATTCGATCAAAAAATAGAATCCGACCAAAAAAGTCATGATCTTGAGGGAGCACATTAAGGACCTCACAAAAGTTTATAATAGACATGGACTACTTCTCTCATTATCGATTGGTCTTAAGATGAAATCCATGATATTAATATTTACCCTCTAACATTAAGAAGTAACAACTCAAAATGGGTTGATTTTTATTATAATTCTTTTGGAGTCTCCAAATAACGATAGGGAATTGGATTATTGGCACAAAGGACAACATTTTTGGACTCTCCAAAGTCTTAATTCAAGTGAATGCTATTAGCCAACAAAAAACACAATCTTTGTTGCTATTGCTAAGTTTAGTGTTTTGTAAGTAGAGACAAATACATAAGATGTCATATAATTTAATATAATTGGCACATGATGTTGTTGACATTATTGGAATTGGCAAACTTATCCATACATTATTAGTRGTAAGTAGGATAGTATTTATTACATGGAGAGAGAAGAAGAAGCAATTTATRGTTAAAGGGGGATTGACTTTGGTGATGAGGAATCTGATGGAGATAAGGACAAGAGATTAAAAAAAGGAAAAAAAAAAAAAGTGGTTTTTTGATTCTTTTTGGGAGAAAGACAACATATGCACACCACAAGACAAGACAACCAGTACTATATTTTAGATGACATTAAGCTGTCAGTTCATTGAATGTGAAAAAGAAACTCAGCTTGGATTTTGAATTTGGATTTTGATCTTTTTAACTTTAAATTAAACTTCAGTCCAACGTTCAAAAGTATGGGACTGGTTCTTGATTGAATTTTTAATTTTGTGTCTAATAGATTCATGTATATTAAATGTAGATGACATTTTTTAAAATTCATATACTAATTAGACGCAAAAAATTCAACTTCGTGTCTTATTGAATCTCGACCTTTAAATTTTATATATAATAGATTCGTAATTTAAAAGTGGTTGAATATGATAGGAATTTACTAGACACAATTAAAAAATTTATTTGACATTTTATAAACTTCAATGATATACTAGCTTCTAGTTTCATAACCATTTCTTTCTTTGGTTTTTCACAATTTAAAATACCTAAAATCTATTAAATAATAAAATAATATTTCCATTCTCTACTGTGTCTGTATTCTAAAACTTATTTTTTTAAAATTATTCTGTCAAATAGGATTTTTACATTGAAAACGTTTCTGTCTGTCTTCTGGGAAAATTACATCCACTAACTCACAAAAACTTATAGTTACAAAAATTAAACACTTTTTTTTTCTTTTTGTGTGATGATTTTATAATTTTGACCTTATATAACATAGTAAGGAATTTGGTCAATTTGAACTCCAAGGCATATGGTAGACGTGTGTGAAAAGCTTAGTAAGGGCACATTTGATAACGTTTCCGTTATTTATGTTTCCTCTTTTTAATAAAGAAAAGCATAATTGGATGGCTCTCGATACTCTATTTGAGTCAAGAATGATAAAACAATACTTTTATTTATATTTTGGAATAAATTGGAAACGAGAACCAGAAACAGGTTATTTCTGTTGATTTCAAAATTTATATACAATTTTGAGAATGTTTCTAAAGAAAACAAAAAACAAAAACAAAAAAAACATAATAAAATACTTAGATTTCTTAATAAAATTGGTAATAGAAAACAAGAAACAGAAGTATCACCAAATGAATCACTTCAGTAAAAAATTTGTTACGTTGCCAAGGAAGGAGAGGGAGAAAAAAATAATAATAGTGAACATTTTACGAGGGGGGAAGGAAAAGAAGAGAGACCAAAACATCAAAGCAGTAATATCCAACCAATAAATATTGGATATGGATACGTAGATTCTCACGTTTCTATGTTTATTCTGCATGAATGTAAACGATTATCAATATTATAGAGTTTCATCTCAAAATCAATTTGCTTTGAGATGAAACCTATGAATATTAATATGGTATTAGAGCCCAAAAGAGCTGACATCCAAAATAGACGTCACATCTTGATATTAATATTCACAAGGTTTATCTCAAAACTAATTGGTTTCCAAAAGCTCAACTTGATTTCCAACCTATAGAAGATTCTAACCGGCAGGAATTCTACAAATGAACAAGTTTGCTAGCAAAAGATCTTCTGATCGTCAATAAAAGATCTATTGATCAACAGTTACGAACGTCGTAATTGCAAAACCAGATTTCCAAAACCTCCTTTTATAAAAGATATGGAGTCCACCTTTTCAAAGGGCATGCACCCTCTTGCATTCAACCTAACTCAATTTGGCACCAATTCGAACTAAGCATTAACTTAAATTTCGGAGCATACGTCATCGAGTATCGCACAAGTGCAAGGTTCTGTACCAACTAAGTCCATGTCAGAGGGCTTGCTAATATGTCATACAAAAGACTTAATCGTGAATTAACAATTATGAGTTTTATTTTTATTTATATTTATTTTTAGGGTATTACCATTCAAACCAAATATTAGGATTTTGAATCTATGGCCTTTGATGATTATTGCTAGTATATAATCTCCAACGTTGAGTTATAATCACGTCAAATAATTATTTGAAAGTAAGTTGAGGCTTCAGTTTTAGAGTTTATTTAATTTTTTTTGAAATTTTATAAATAATAAATATATTTATAAGACTTTATTGGGAGCTGAGTGATGTGTTTTCGTGAAAATATTAGTATTTAATGAATGACATTTCTCATGCATAATTTTGTAATAAATATCTAAAAATTGTAGAAAAAGAGTTAGTCTATTCAATTTGAATATACAGTATTTCCATCCTTGGATTCTTTTACATATTTCAATTTTATTAAGTGAAATTTGATTAGATGCCTATGTGGAATTCTAATTTTTTAAATAGGAAGAACAAAATCTAAATTTTCCTGGAATTTTTTTAAGCTATTATTGATATATTGTTAATGTCACAAAAAAATTAATAAAATGTTCTTGAAAATAATAAGAATACACAATTCTTTCTATTCATTTAATTAAAAATTGGAATTTCGGAATATTTATTTGATATTATATTTTTATTTAATAAAACTGAGAGAGTTGAATAATGCAGCTTTGTGAAGATTTCAACTAAAGTTTTGACACATTTTTTTATAAATATTATATATTTTTAAAATATGAAACAAATTTTAATAAATTTGTATGACTATCAAACAGTAAAAGCGTTAATTATTGAAGATCAATTATTCGATCGTTGTTGGACTAAAAAAAATAAATTTGTATCACTCAGGAAAGTAAAATACTTCCATTATTTGGGTGTGTAATTATTAGTTCCAATATATTATGAAAGTAAATGATGGTAGCTTCATTATTTTTATCTAGCAATTTATTTCATACAGTTTTGAAGATAACATGGGACAAAATGGAAAATTGTTAAACCAATAACATATTTTTTAAAAAAAATTAATTTTATAAATGACTATTTTCTCTAGAGGGCAAATTCCACCGAACTCAACGATTACCTTCCTTAAACTTTCATGTGTAAAAATTAAATCAACTTTTATAAATAAAAAAAATTAAACCCCTAGACTTTAAAAATGAGAGATAATATCTTTAGAGAACTGTTTTAGAAACTTATTTACATAAATGTCTAAAATTCTTTAATTTTACACTTTTGCATTTCTGCAGGTAGGATTTTATTTTAATTCCGAATTTACCTCCATTTATTGCATTTTCATTTATTATAGTTATTCGCTTTTTTTAAAAAATATAAAAGATTTAATTCCATAAATTAATATCATAACCCTTTAATTAATTATTGTGGTCTCATATTAATTTTCAATTCAAATCCTTAATTCACTCCTTCAACACCTATCATAATCCTTTAATTATTGTGGTCTCATATTAATTTTCAATTCAAATCCTTAATTCACTCCTTCAACGCCTTATTTAACTCATTCAAAAAGATTGATTTTCTTTATTTACCAATATTATTAATTAAAAAATATCCAAATCTTAATTATTGTGGGCACAACATCATCCTCATTTCTACTACTGGTACAATTTGTTCTCCTTCATTCATACCCTACCGGTACGGTTCTTCTTTATACCAATTATTTGGGTTTTAGTTTCTTGTTTTTGTTTTAATGAAATCAATTTTATGAGGTTTAGATGCTGATTAATTTTGCCAATGTCTTATTTCCTCTGTGTTTGAGGTCCAAATGTCTAATTATTATTTATTTTTTGGTGTTATTTATCCTTTAACAGAAGATAATTAACGGGAAGCACGTATTCATCGACGCCAATATTGAAAGGAGAAGAAAAACACTGTTTATCTACACATCGAAGGAAATATGAAAATATAATTTGCGGGGTATTTTGCAGTATTCATAGTTACAAGTCCGAATATAAATTGACAAAAAGAAAAAAGAGAGAAGGAAAAGCCGCGGATGTCCCGCAAAGTAGATTTGATGTTCCAAAAAAGTCAACTATTCGTCAAGCATGCCAATTCCAATATCTTGTCTTAGATAAGTAACAAATTATATTCAAACAATGAAGAATATGCGAGCAGAGAAAAGATACAAGACAGCACTGCTGAGTTTAGGCAGCTAGTGTTATGGAACTCGTGCAGTCGGAGGTCCCCGGGGTTGTCTCGTTCCTGCTTTTAGGAGCAAGCTACCTTACTTAAGTAACTCGTATTTGAGTAAGATTTGAAATCCCGAGTAGCTATGCTTGTCTCCTATGAGACTAGATATCCTGAGTAGGTGTGGGCTCTTCTTTATTAACTTATTAATGTGTTCGAAGCTGGACTATCAGTGGCTTTCTTCCCGACTGCTAATGTGTCAATGTGATTTTCGCATCACAAAGGGTTGGAGACATTTAGCTAAAAGGCTTCAGTTAGCCAGAACAATGTAATATCGAAAGTCCTCTGTGATTACTAGGGTTTTGGATTGGTTGGGGGGATAAAAACCAAATACCTTCTCCAGTGAAAGTGGTCTGTATGCTCGATTTCTAATTTTTTAAATTTTGGTTACAAGAAATAGGAGAAGTTTAAAGGATAGATTCACTGGTATATATAAAAAGTCAAGATGTAAATCACTAACGGTATATATCCAACAAATTCTTAGTTTTAAATCACCATAAGTATATATCCGAATATATAAAACTTGAGTTATAATATATATCCTACTCTAAACACTATACTATATATCCTCACATATACAATATTTTAAACAAACGAGATCAAAAATATATACTCGTATATGCCAACTAATCTTTGGCGACAGCAATAGAACCAGAGAGCAAGAAATGAACCTCGAATATGTCTAAAATTGAAATCTAAATATAGCATAAACTACTCGAGAATAGGAACCGTCGAAGATGGAATGCTCTGCAACAAAGAAAATTAGAGCCGCCGAAGGGAAGGGAGACAACGTCGAATGTCAGAGAAGATGAATGGAAATTTCAGAGGAAGGAAGCCCATCGATCGAAGGAAGGAAAGAAAATCGAAGAAGAAGGAAGTTTCGAAAATTTAGGGGTGTTAGGATTTTTAGGTGTAATTAACACAATTTAACTATTCAAAGTTTACTAAACAAAGCACCAATTAATTTACCTTTCTCCTGCCCCTTTAAATCCCATTTCTAATACTTGCTCACTTATTTGTCTAATCTTTTTTATCAATTCATAATTCAAAGATGCCAATAAGAATCAATTGGCCAAATAAATTACCCATTTACAAACATTAACAAATCTAATTTTTCTTTTCTTTTTTTTTTAACCTACATAGTTCTTGTTGTTTATTATCTTAAAAAAATAGTTCTTGTTGTTTATTATCTTAAAAAACCATATAATGACATTTTGACATTACTTGTCCCTTCAAATGTAAAATGCCATAGAGTCAATTCATAAAATAACCTCCAAAATCTGTAGAGTCTATTCCAAAGCAAGAACTTGGGCCCTGTATAGGAAAATATAAATATTGTACAGCAATAAACTATTCATTTTTCCACTTTATTTTCCCTTTTTTTTCATTTTTCTTTGAAGAATGAATAATAATATTACACAGCATTGGTAAGAACCTGACCACACAAATCATTTGAACTATGAATTTCAATTTACAGTATATACAAAAGAGAGGGGAAAGAGGAAACCAGGCATCAGTCCCACCAGTGCTACTATCAATAACATAATCACTTCTATCTGTCAGTAGAATTGTCCTTGTTGAAACCCAACCAACAACCTCAACTTTATCAATCATGACACGACGCATGCTCTATCATCAGGACCACGACGACCAGCAGACTGTTACGGTCCAATATTACGATGCATTATGACATGCCGAGGAACGTTATCCTGCAACAGGAATTTGAGGTAGTAAAGTTGGATGCTGTAAAAAGGAACCTCATATACCTTTTGAAATGAGTAAAAGCAAAACAAACATGAAAAATAAACGTCACGATTCAAAATTTAACCCGTAATCTAACAAACCCATTATTTATATATAGATGTGCACTTAATTTAAGCGTATATGGCATATGTATTCAATTAATCATTATGCCAACTCTTGCGTGCCCAACTAATTGCAAAGTTACCATGTCTGTTCTTTCGAAAAGTATATATATTTTGATATCTGTGCGTGAGTGGGTCCACTTGTGCATACCTTGAATTTTTAATTTTGTAATTTGTTAACTCAATTCATTAGTTAGATTAGTCTGCTAGAGCCATTTCAACAGACAGCAGATTTTGCTTCCACAAGGTACGCTAGAAATAAGAATAATGTGTTAAAAAACCTTCACCCAATTTGTACCTTCCTCGGAGAAAGAAAATACACCGCCAAGCATGTCATCAGGGTCTCCATCTTCCTCACATTTCTCCCTGTAACGGGGACTACCGCTACTGTCTACGTCGTCGGTTACAGCATCTGCTGGGTCACGGCAGTTACTAAGACCCGTTGCTTTACAATATTCCTCTTGAAAGAATGGTTCATAATCAAATGAGTCACGCATTGGTTCCTCGTCAAGAATGTTCATACTCAAGTCAGAACGGGTGGAACTTGTATTTGAGCCCTCACTCGCCCCTCCACGTTTTGATGACTGAACCGCTTTTAAAATAGTTCTATCAGTGGAGAGTGAGCCACTTGTTACAGTTGATGGGCTGTTAGTAAAATCACTGCCTTCAACTGGGGAAAGTCCAGTGCTAGATTGTTTAGAAGAAACCGAGGACCGCTCCTGGAAAGAGTTCTCTTTCATTACTGGCGAGGATAAAACAGATCCATCCTTTTCTTTCATCTTAAGGTCACCCACAGACTTGGCAATGGGTGGATAAGAAATACCTGAAATGATGATTAGAAAATAAGAGAAAAATGAAGACGCTGGAATATAATGAATTAATAAACATGAAAATCAAGTGCTTATTATAATAACCATCTGAATTTTCCTCCAAGCCAGGTGAATCCAACTTTGAATCTGAAATGATATCACCTTCTGAATACTTCATTCCAGCACCATGAGAATCTGAAGTTGGGTTAGAGCCTTTTGCTCCAGCATGGCTCCTGCAAAACACAATCAAGAACACGAACTTTCAGCACCCAATGAAGTGTCTTCGCAATTCAATAAATAATGTGGAATCGCATGTCATCCAGGATAAGCAATTAAGTATTGAGCGAGCGTCAATTACACAACACAGATCTACATCTACTCACATGAACCATTCTCTTAAAGACATTCTGCGAGAAATGGACACATCAACAGCAAAAGGTTTATGAAAATAACAGAAACAAATGGATTAGACATTGACAATAGCCCTAAAAGAAAAATAAGCACCAATTAAACACACAAAGTATCAAAATAAATCTTCTGAAACATGCATAGACGAAGTACAGAGTTTGCAAAGACTTGACCAATCTTGTAAGGACAAAGAGGAACAGGCTATGGAGTGCAGGCTGGGATGTGACTTCCATTCTTTGTAGTTTGTATTTGGAAAGGAATAAATGAAACTTTTAGGAAAAACTAGTATTATTAGTGACAAATGGAAGAATAAGATTCATTTTAATGTTTCATTCTTTGGGTTTTAAGAAGATTTCACTTTCATTTTTAACATTTGGGGTCTACTCCTAAATCGTTGTTCCTTATGTCATGCTGGTATATTTTTGTTGCACCTATCCTCCCAGGTATCTCAATTTTTAACTTGAAATAAGATCTTACTTACTATTAGTGTTAAAAGAAAACCCCAAATGTCATAGCGTGTTTCAGCCTCGTATTTGAAGTTAATTTTTCTTTTCCCTTTTACTTTCACCTACAAAGTATTGCTCTATCGAGATAAGGGAATTCATATAGCTTCCCCATGGGCCTTGTGAAAGACTTTGGATGGGATGTACAACTGATACCTTACAGGGTAGTGACAGGAGAAATTTCTGATATCTTTTGCATAATTCTGGTAAATGTTGCTAGTAACATGGGCTACCTTTAAAGCTTGGAAAATTTACAATTTTCTTAGGAGGAATAAGAAACATGCTTCATAGAATAATTACAAAGTCAATGGAGATTGGGTAATCCACCCGAAACGAGAAATATGGAGCTTATAGATCCTTGTCCCTAGTTTTATATTCTTTGATTAATGGAAATTTCTAGTTTCTAACAAAAAATATTAATAATAATAATAAATAAATACCTAGATGTCTCTCTAATTTCTACTGTATACAAAGGGAAGTCGAGAACAATCCTTTTGTGAAATTGTACAGTATACAGCCCCCTGATGGAGCGCCCTTCACAAAAAGATTATTTTATTATCACGGCATTTCTTTTTTATTAACTTCAAGTTGGAAAGAGCTTATTAATAGTTTCATCCCAGCAAGGGAGTTCCCCTGAGCCCATAGGTTCTTCTCTTTCATTTTTATAATAACCTTTTTCTTATTAGGAAACAAAAAACAAAAAACAAAAAACAATAGTCCCCCCAAGAAATTGGTCCAAATGATAAATTGCTCCATCCCCTCATCCCTTCTTACTTCTCTCAATAAACATCCAGGCAAACTAAAAAATCTGAAAAGGTTAACAAAATGCAAGAAAAGGAAGAACAAGTAGTTAATGTCTTCAGTAGGTACTACACATACTGCAATCTCTAAGAATGCACCGACAGAAGAATTGTTTATTATTCAGGTACTTTTGCTTTGCATATCATGTTGGCAAATTACAAACATGGTCTTGTACTAAAAGGTGCAGCAAATTAGAATTTAAAAGAGTATAAACCTGAAAAATTGATTGGGGGAGAGAGGGAATGATATCATTAATCTATGCTAGGAGAGAATTCTAGAATCCCCTTATCACTTAGATTCTTAAAAATAATATAAAAATATTTAAAGAAACCAAACACCTAAGAAGAGAGGAGCCAGGGAAGAACACTGGGATGCCAAAGTGCCAGTCTTTTTTATCTTTCCTGTGTTAGTACTTCATCAGAAGAAGAAAAAAGAAATCAAGAGTTCAGATGAATTTCAGGAAACAATGACATTAGTTGCTCTCTCTCACCACAAGCCTAAAATCCCTTCCGCTGTCCTGAATTCATCATTTTGAGTCTCATTTAATGCTATCTTTTGTAAACAATAATCATTCAATGACTGCCAAAATCTCCCTGCTTTTCATGATGCCAAAAGACAGATTGTTGACCTATAAGACAAGTGACTTCTCGATCAAATTTTTTGTTCACTGCATGTGTCGAATCAAAAAATTATCTTCATTTATCCCCAAAAAGTTTGTACATCTCTCCTCAATAAAATCCGAATTGAGGATGTCTTTTCCGCAACCTAGGGTATTGGAATAGTGGCAAGAGGCTTGGGTATTGACACCCACGATTGAGCCCTTGTGTGTCTAGAATTGGGGATGTGTTTTCCAATAACACCAAAGTTCAAGGAAATTAAACTTCCCGTATTTAATGCATTCGTGCCCTTTCTTCGAGAATAGAAATGAGGATACTGATGTTATCCCTCCAAATAAAGAACGGACGTCCATTCAGATCCACCCCTCTCTCTCTCGGCTCTATTAGGTCAACCAATGAAGGATCAAAGAAAATCCAGGTGGATTCTTTTTTTCGGACAATGAGAATGATTTGAATTTGAGTATAAGCAGTCAAGACTCTGCACCTTTTTTGGAAGATCATTTGTCATGCCCTGAAGATCTTTCGGATCACTCTTTTGCAGAAGATTTTACTAATCTCTTTGGATTGCACAATGAATAGTTGGACTTCCCTTCTGATTTGGACCAAGGAAAGGGTGTAGATTTACCTTCAGATGTTAAATCCCCAAGTACAGAAAAGGAGATATCAATTCCTCCATTTTTTGCGGCCGTAGGGATCACTCTTGTCCCCATTCGAAGTTCTTCTTGATATTTCGTTCTTCGGGATTCACAATCAACTTTTTGCAGCAGTCATTTTTTATGGAAAGTTTCTCTAGTCTTGCAGTAGGGTTTGAAGTTAGAGTTCCAAAGTCGCTGGTCTTCAATGTTCCAAGGGTTGATTTTTGGTGTTGCTTTTGTAAGGCTTCATCAGACGATGAATCGAGTTTATTTATTTGATAATTTCAGTAAGGCAGGTTTGTAGAAAATTTTGGCGTTTGGATCAGTGGTTATCCGAGAGATGATATCTTGGTTGCTTTCTTTGGCGGTTCAGTTGGTCTTTTTGGAGAAAGTGTTGCTTTTGGGGGTAACACTTTTTCTTAGAGTGGAAGAAATCAGATTCTTGTTTTTATTTTGTTCTGCGATTATGCCTTGTTGGTATCAAGCAGGAAATTCCTCCTAGTTTGGAGTCAGATGAAATTTTTCTCGGTTGCAGTGAAGTGGATGGAGTCCTCTTTTTGTGTCGTTGTCTCAAGGAAAAAGCAAGTCATTGGTGGATAGATTCTGTCTAGCCAAGTTTAAAGCATCCCTTTTAGTTTTCTAGCTTTTCATCCTTTTTGTTATGTTGTTTTGGGTGGCCTTTATTGCTCCCGTTTAATTCTTGTTCGCTTTAAGTGCTATCTTTAAGAAGCTTGTCTCTTTTTGTTTTTCTCTCTCGCTCCTTCGGTAGTTTGTATTTTTGAACAATTTTTGTTCCTTTTCATACTTTCATATGAAAAGTTCGTATCTTGTTCAAAAAAAAAGAAATGAGGATATGCAGCATTGAATGAATTCTTTATCTCCATAATGCTTTAGGGCAATGGGGAGAAATTCCCTGAATGATTCTTGCAAGGGAAGTTCAACCAATTTTCAAAAGGGGGCTCATGCCTGGGTTGGGCATTTATTGAAACCTTGTGTGCCATCTTTTCCTTAACTAAAATCTCTCCTACCACCCAGTGATTATCTTTTTCCTCATCTATCACAATAAACGATACATTTTCTTAAATTTTTGCACCATCTTCTGCTGGAAATTTTTGCCGTCTGAAAATACAAAAGATGAAGTTCAACTGATGTTTCTTGCCTTGATGGATGCTAGCTGCAGACTGAATTGAGACATTCATTTACTCGGATGAAGAAACTACCCAGGTAAGGATCTTGAATTTCAATTTCAGCTGGAAGGAGGCAAGAATTCTGTTAAACTTCAATCCAAACCGTACTACAATCCAACATATTCAACGTTTTGGAAGAACAATTGACTTAGCCTCCCAAATAACTTCCAGTAGCTTCGAAACAACTACAAGTTCAATATCTTAGTGGTAACTTTTGAGGACAACTCTTTAGACTTTCATGTTTGTGGAGTAATTTACAGCTTACTACTTCTAGGTGGTGCTACAGTTTCAGCAAAATTCTTTTGTAATTACTCCCTTTGCTCTATCCTTCAAAATTGGAAGGCTTGCATGTTTTAGTTTCCTTGGGAAGAGGTTTTCTCTACCCCTTGCCCTTAGGCGGTTCTTTTTGTGATTAATACATATCTCTTTTGTTTCTTATCAAAAGAAAAAGGTGATGAATATTAATCCATCCACCATACCCCCAACGAACTCAAGTTTGGAAGCCCTTTCTTTAGGCTAGCTTCCTTTTTCTGGGCTGTTGTTTTTGTATGCCCTTGTCTTTGTTTTTGTTTTCATTTGTCT